GGCCACCCCATCCGATGTTCAGCCCACTCAATGTGCACATAATTGCGTTCTGTGATTTGGAAAGAGAAGACATATGCAAACAGATTTCAAGGTTAGCTTTTTTTTTTTTTGTCACATTTTCCCCCTTCCAGCTCTTGCTAGGTTTTCAGTCTTTGGAAGAGTCACTTAGAGCTTAATTCTGCAGACAAAAGTTATGCCATATCCCTTTGTCCTGTGCCCTGTTGAAATGGGAAGTGGTGACTGTGTTCCTGGTTAGTGCCAACAATAGAGCTAAAAGCTTTGAAAAAAGTGGTGTGTGTGTGTGTGTGTGTGTGTGTGTGTGTGTGGTGTGGTGGTTGGAAATTGTCACTGTATCATTCTTATGTCTCAAACTTATGTTCACCTGCCTGTTTTTGCCTTACTTCATTTCTGTGCTTATATTTCTATTTTTCACTCATATTTCTTTATCCAAATCAGACTAATCATCTCAATTTCAAGAAGACAAAGTATAGTTTTACTTGCTTTTTGTTTTAATCATGGGAGAAAACAATGTCAGAAAGGGAAGATGGCCCCTCTCCCCTTGATTTCAGAGGCTTCTCAGGTCCAAGGGCACAGCAGGACATCGATAAGGGTGTGCGAATCTAAGAATGTGGCTGATGGGGAGAAATCAGAGCACAGCTCAGGTTCGGCAGCCTCGCTGTGCTGCAGAAGGACTCCAGCTGCATGAGGGAACCGTTTGTGTATCTCCTGTTCTTTCTGTGCTTGTAGTGTGTGTTCAGGATAGCCCCGCACAGGCACACCAGAGGCTAGCCTCCTCTAGAAAACCCCTCACGGCCACACCAGAGGCTAGCCTCCTCTAGAAAACCCCTCACGGGTGCTCCCAGAGGCTAGCCTGATTTGTCTTACAGGTGATCCTAGATCCTGTCAGTTGGCAACATTAACCACCACATCCTGTATGCTGAGCTTTGAATTCTGGGCAACAATGAGCATGAATACCAATCATAAGACAGCAGTGAGCCTTAGACCGTTTCATTTGATTGAAATACTGTATATGTGGGACTTACATTTTTAAGTTGAAGCTTCTACGGATCAATTCCCAAGTCTCATTACCTGATAGAACCTCTGTTTATACTGGGTAGATCTCAGTCCACATTTAGAAACAGTCACAGCTAAAGAGTAGTGGGTGTGGGTGGCTCTGTGAGGGACAGTTTGGTGTCATCCTGTCACGCTTGCAGTTTCTAGTCTTAAGGGTTCAGGACCATGTTTCCTTTTAGTAAACAGGTTTTAGTGTGTGGGTTTTAGATATTTTAGGAGCACATAACTTGTTTACATGAATTGTTTACTTTCTTGTGTGTAGTATGCATGCATGTGTGACTGTGTATGGATGTGGGTACACATGTGTATGAAGATGGCTGTATACAACTGTATGCTTGTATGTTGAGGCTAAAGGTTGAGGCTGAGTGTCTGTCTTGATCATTTCCACTTTATATATTGATGCAGAATCTTTGTGTGAACCAAAAGCTTACCAATTTACTATCATGACTGACTGACTTGCTTCAGGGCTTCCAATTCTGCCTCCCAATCCTGGGATTTCAGGAAGGCCACCATGGACACTTAGCATTTATGCGGGTGCTGGGGATCCAAACTCTGAATCACCCAGAAAGTGCCTTACTGCCTCTGAGCCATCTCTTTATCTCTGAGGTGTTTTTTTTTTTTGTGTGTGTGTGTGAATGTGTGTGTGTATGAGCGCATGTGCATGTGTGTGTAAGTTGTTAGGGACTTCTTTAGATATTTCAAATAGAAACACCACCTGTTGAGAGTATAAAACAGATAATGCATAAGATTAATATGTATATATATTGCTAGATAACATTTAACCCACAGCTTTCTCTTCTTCGCCCCTCACCCCTGAATTACATCTTCTCTAAGGCATGGCAACAGTGTGGTGTTTGCATATTCCAGTGGTGGAGAGTTCTAATTAGTATTCATTTACTTGACTGGGTGCTCCAGTAATATGTTCTGCATTAGTCAGCTTCCTTGAGAAGCCCATAAAAATGGAAACAGAAGTACGGGAGATTACTTGGGTGAGACATTTTTTCCTCCTCCCAAACAGGGAAGATACTAATGGGGGTAGATGGTGTCTTAAATGTGAAAATATTTAAGCCAGGCCTAGCAGCATAGGCCTACAATTCCAGCTGCTCAGGAGACTGAAGCAGGACAGAGTCATAGGTTCAAGGCCTGCCTGGGCTTCGTAGTAAGTTCAAAGCAAACCTGAGCGACTAAATGAAACTCTGAAGAAAGGATTGAGGATAGAACTCAGTGATAGAGTGCTTCCCTAGCATACAGGAGACTGTGGCTTTAATCCCTGCTACTGAGAGAGAGAAAGAGAGGGGAGAAGCGGGGGAGAGCAGGTGGGACAGAGATGTTTGTGCATATTAGACTATTAAATGTTTAGGCAATGGAGTAGTTAGTGTAGTCCTTGGTAAGTGAAAACAAATATTATATTTTTACAGAGATGAAGGTCTAGACTAATTCCATAATATTTTGTCACTTTATTGGTATGTGTGTGCTCAGACCCTACCACATATGTGTGGGCTGTGTTGGGCACAGAGCTTTACATGGTTTGCACATAGGATGTGCACACAGAATGTGGCAAGCGTTTAAAAATCTATGCTGGGATTTGCATTGGAAACCTGACTATGAGCATTTCCAGGCTTCCAGAATAAAGCAAAGGAAGACAGAAAGGCACTGGAAAGAAAACTATGGTGCTTTGAAGGCCATATTTAGAAACTACCTTGAATGCAGTGTCTATATATAGAGAACCTCTTTTGAGAAGGAATAGCTCTCAGTCATTGTTGTACATTCTGGGTCAGAGGTCTTATTGAACAGCAAGAGAGTGAGCTACAGAGGACATGAATCTTTATGACCAAGTTGGTCTTCTAGAAACTCTGAGGTAGCCCTTTTTATGAGGACCGAAACCATGGTGTTCATCTATTTTTCAACATAAAAGAGCATGGCATGGCTTGCTGCCCTAGAGTGCCTGACCTGATTACCTTCTTGTTGGCTGTAGGTATTGTCACCTGTTGTGACGGAACACAGACGCCCACCCAGTTTCTAGGCACAACATTACGCTATTTTAAATCCTGCCTACTGGCTATTGAGCTTCTACAAACACGATTTGTAGAATTTCAGGAGGATTTCAAAGAGTCGTTATTTTTGTGAGCCGTCTCTCCTGCTCTGTTTCCCTTTTCATTCAGTCTGGTACTCTAGCCCATGTTACGATGCTCTCTGTATTTCGCGTGAATCTTCTCTCTTCAGTTAAACCTTTTGAAGTGCACTCACAGAACAGCCAAAGTGTGCTTCATTAATTTCCTATGTGTTTCTTAATCAAATGAAGTTGATGATCAAAATTAACCGCCACGCACTCCCACTCGTTGTGCGTAAGGGTGTTGATTTCTCTGCATCCACACAAACACTTGCCATTGCCTGTCATTTTGATTACAGCTGTACTGGTGCTTGGAAGTGGTACCTCTTTGTGATTCCCTCTTGAATTTCTGTGACTGCTAATTACTAACAGCCATCTTTTCATGTACTTACTATCCTTTTACAGACACACATACACACCACACACAGACACACATGAGAGTTATTGGTTGAGATTCTGTGGTTGCCTTTAAATTGAACTGTCTGTTATTAAGTTATAAAATATATTATTTACAAACATTTCATACATTTTTTTTCACTTTACTTTGAAGCACAAAAAAATTTTGTATTTCTTTTTTTGTGACAGGGTCTCTCTAAGTAGCCCAGGTTAGCCCCCAACTCCTGACCTTCCTGCCTTAGCTTCCTGAGTGATGGGATTATAGGCATGTACTGTATACAGCTGAAAGTTAAAATGACGATTCTTAACCCTCACCCAGCTGTCCTAGCTTTTTGGCCTAAGTGCCGTTTGTAGGTAAGCTTTGATTTGGGGCTATTGTTAGACTCTGTCTTCTGAGCATGACATGGCTGTTGCTGTTTTTAAAATAGAGAAGCTGCAATTACTCCCACGAGCCCCTCACATGAGTGGGCCCACTAACTAAGTGTGTGAGGTTCTTCACAAGATGGCCCTTGAAGCCCATGGGGTCTCACCCCTTCTCAAGGATATACAAACAATCAACATTTACAGGGGGAGATGGGGGCAGAGTCCTCTTCAGTACAGTAGCTGCCCAGAGGTGCCCATGTTCCTGTTGGTAACTCTTCACCCATGCGCCTGTGAGCAGCACTAAACTCTGGTTCTCCAAGCTAGACTGGAGTGGACTCATTTCTTTTGGATTTCACTGGTGCCCTATCTGGGAAGAACAGAAGTATGCGCATGTCCCCCAGGAAAGGTCTCACCACAGTGGCTGACTTTACTAATTTAAGACTGCTGTTTTTTTTTTTTAACAAATTGCTTGTTTTTCAACAGCTGCATTTTACAAATATATCACACTATGCGTGCGTGCCAGATTTGCCTTTAACAGAGCAAAGCAGATTGCAGCAGACATGGATGAAGACACCAGGAACAGCCCTGTGTCTGTTAACATTGCAAGCGTGATTTGAGAAGTGTGTCCCTGGGTGATTTTGTCATGATTTGAATATCCCAGAGTGCGCATATACAAACAGAAACAGTCTAGCCTACCAACCATCTAAACTATATGGGCTGGCTCCTAGGCTAGCAACCTGTAAAAGAACATTCTATCCTGCTGACCCTCCCTCAGGCCTTTTCATGATGCAATGTTTGTTGACCCGGTCATGTGAAGGTCTCATGTAGGTTGCCTTCTGGTGTTGATACTGCCTTTGCCAACTGAGACGGTCTGAGTTGTCCTGGCGAGCACTATTATGTCCATATATGTAAAACAAGGGGGATAAAAGTGGAATACTTTAGAGTCTTTGTTTCCACCTTGGATTTGGTAAACTGCAAGGGGAAAGCCACCGTGCAAAGAGATAGACGTTTCTTTCTCTTTTTTTGAACCAGTTTCCACTTTCTGTCCTCTTTCTAGGCCTCTGATGATTGTCACTCAGAAGATCACAACCTTGGCTTTCCAAATTCACGATGGTGAGAAAACAGTCTTCCCTTTGGCTCTCAGAGCCATCCAGGTGTCCGGTACTCCCATGCGTCTATCACATGCAGTCCAAGATTTTCGTCAGCGCTGGAAGGCCCTGCTCTCTCTGGTTCAAAGTTTCCAGGCCTCCATAGTCACACCCTTCTGCTTTTCCAGCCATCACTCCCCCCCTCTTTTTTTTTTTTATTGAATCCACAGTCCACATTCACTTAAGTGCTCCAAGAACAGTGAGGTTTCTGTTTACATTTTAAAGTTAATTCATGATGCTCTCTGACCTTTTCCAAATTTATTAAGACAACGTCTTCCTTTCTGCTTTGATTTTATCTCTGAAAAACTTAGAGGGCAATAAAAAATTTAACAGTCTTGGCTGGTTAATCAGTTTTTAATGCTACGGTTTTTAGCCCCCTGGGGGAGGTGTGTGCTTGGAAAAATTGTCTGATAAGATTAGCCTGACCTATAAAAAGCTGGGAGAAGGAAGAGTCTTCTGCTTGTGTATTTTTCTATTAGGTTCTTCCTAGCAATGGTCAGAGCATGCGATTTCCATCAGTAGAGTGGTTTTTCAGGAAAGGGAGGAAGACTTTCAGCCAGGTGGATGATTCTAATACAGGGTTAAGGGGTTCAATGGACAGGTGCCCTGTGGGTTTGTGTTGCACTCAGAACGATCTCAACTGTTGACTTGTCTTTATAGTAGCCAGGTTGAGAAGATTTCTCTCCAACAACTAGTGTCTGTGTTTTACTTAAAAGCGTGGGAACAGACCATGTTTCATTTGACCCAGTGTATTTCATTCATACTTGGGGCTTTAGCTACTCTGCATAGAATTGGGTCATTCCATAGCCAGAATGGGGTGTCCGTAGAGTCACCAACCATCCTGATTTTCTCAGGACTCAGACACCTCCCAAAATGCCACTTAAATTGTCAGAATCAGAAAGTCTCAGGAAAATGGAAACCCTGCTTGGTGTAGTAGCTACCAGGAATATCTAACCCATGGGCCTGAGGAAGCCCAGAATAGCTTTGAATGTATCCTTACCCCAAATCATAAACTTACTTAAAACATTGTGAGATTTTTTGGGGTGGATGTAGGTGGAATTAGCTATGTTATTCTGTTCTTGAGTGTCAACTTTATATATGACGACTTGGTGTCACCGTGTCAAAAGGTTGGGCATGTCTATCAGTGTAGACTAACAGAAGTAAAGTAACCAATAGTCAAAGTGAGTTCAGTTCTGCAAATTGCTATGGGTGTGTTGAGATCTGATTGGATAAAACAGACTGGGGTCGTATTGTTGACTCTGTGTGTATGTATATGTGTGTAGACATGGCCTCACTGTGCATCCCAGTTTAGTCTTGAACTTGGAATCTTCCTGCTTCCTCCCAGGTGCAACCATACTGGGCTGGTAGTTTTTGTTTTGTTTTGTTTTTTAACACTGCTTCTTTTTTTTTTCCCTTTTTTTCACTTCAAAATAGTCTTTGGACCTAAATTTACAATTGAAACGACGCTCCCTTTACCACATTTCCTGGAGTATTCCTAACACAGAGTGAAGTGTTTATTTACTTTTTTCTTTTCTTTTTCCCCCTTGTGTGTGGGAGGAATGAGGGAATTCCAGAAACACTCTGCCTTTTCTTAGGCATTTTCTTCTGACAGGATCTTATTATGTCTCCTTCCTGGCCTGAAACTCGATCTGCCTGTCTCTGCCTTCCATATGCTATGATTACAGGCCCGAGCCACCACACCTAGTTTAAGTGCGCTGTGGAATTGCCTGCATGGTTACCAGGCAGATTTAGAGTTCTTATGTTGCTTGTTGTACTTCAGAGCCAGTATATATGTATGTAGTATATATGTAGCTCACTTTTGTCCTCTCAGCACGTGAATAGTGTACAGAAGAGGGCTGCAAGTTCAAGGTCAGCCTGTGCTACGTGCTGAGATCATATTTCAAACAAACAAACAAGCAAACAAAAAAGGAGGTTAAAAAATACCCACAAGATAATGCTTTAGTTTCTTTGACTCCAAGATAGCACGTACATTTTACAGAGAGCAAACATTACTTGTGGTTGGAAGTTTGTCTGCTGTGGATGAGTTCAAAGAAGAAGAAAAGACAAAAAAATCTGGTGATTCTCTGTGTTTTCCCTGCAGTCAGCATTAGCTTCCTTTTGCTGTTTAGAAGGAGAAAGTCTCTGTTTCCTCCCCCACTATGTCTCATCCCAGTGCTCGCAGCTTCCCGTCAGAGCTATCACAATTCTCGGGTCTATTAATAAGTTTTCCTGTTGCTATGACAAAATCCTCTGACCAAACCCGGCTCCCAGTTGGAGGTATAGTCCATCATGGCCAGGAAGACATGGCGGCAGGCACATGAGCCCTTGTCACATTATCTATGATGTCAGGAAGTGCGATATAGTCCATCATACCTGGGAAGACATGGCGGCAGGCGTATGTGCGCCTTGTCACGTGGCATCTGAAGTCAGGAAGGGACGATACAGTTTATCATAGCCGGAAGACATGGTGGCTGGAGCACGAGTACCTTGTCACATGGCATCTGAAGTTGAGAAGCCGAGAGGCTTGTATGTTGGTGCCTTGCTCACTTTCTCCTCTTTATTAAGCTCACCTTGGAGTGGTGCTGCCTGTAGTAAAAGGTGGATTTTCCCACCTCATGGAACCGCCGCTAGAAACTCACTCATGGAGTTTTCTAGACAAACCCAGAGGTTTGTCTTCTAGGTGATCCTAGGTCCTGTCAATTTAACAGTCACCATTAGCCATGTTTCCCACCTGGCATCATGAGAGAGACATCTGAATTGGCTCAGCTCATGAAAGGCAGCTGAAGCACTCTTACAACTGTTAGAGCTATAGACTACTGCTGTGTGCTGAGCAATCTCTATGTGGAGGTCATGGGCAGGCTTTTCTGGAGTTAACAGACTTCCAGGCAGATCAAATACAAGTAACCTTGAATGCTCCCTTGTTCATACAAACCTATGGAGACTTCTTCAGGCGGACTCATGGGTAACGGATGTAGGATGACTTTACATCCTGCTGTAAGGATGGAATTCAGGGCCTTGTGTGTGTGCTAAGTTCATGCTCAACCAATGCCTTCCTCCTGCAGGGCTTTTGAGAAAAAAAATGCAAAAAAGGGATTCTTTATAGTGGAGGAGACAAAATCAGCTTTTTTCAAATGAGTTTGGGAAGACACCTTACTCTGAATTTCATTTATCTTTCATAGGATTGGGTCGAAAAGCTGAAGACCTTTCTGCCGAGCAACACCGACTCGCTGTGAAGTAAGTTAGCAGCTACCAGTACGTTCTCAAGTCCTTTGGATGTGTCTAGAGCAGTGGTTCTCACCCTTCCTAATGTTGCAATCCTTTAATATAGTTCCTTATATTGTGGTGACCGCAACCATAAAATTATTTCCTTGCTACTTCGTATCTGTGATTTTGCTACAGTTATGAATTGCACTGTAAATATCTGATATGCAGGATATCTGATATGCACCCATAGGTTGAAAACGACTGGTCTAGAGTTTCTTCATTTTAATAAGTACTCATATATTAATTCTATTATATGGGAGTAATATTACTGTTGAATGCTGTTAATGGGCCCTTGCCTACCTACTAATCTTTGCCTTTGGACAATACTAAGCAATGGCTAACCTTGCATATAGATCTTTGTGTGTGGGTGTTTGGGTCTGCTGTAGGGTAAAGGTCAAGAGCAGGTGAAGCTTATCTCTGGTTTTGTCAGTTCTGTAGGAGTCTCCCTTCTCAGGATGTGTGTGTCTACTGCAGAATCATGTCTATTGGATTTGTGTCTGGGGCCTTTGAGAAATAGTAATTGCCATTGCTTGTAGCATGATTAGTTCCCAGCATAGGGAAAGATAGGAAGCAGGACAAAAGGGAATCCAGGTTGGGGAGTCAGGGATTCTGAAGGTGTTCTTTGGCCAGTGTGGATGGCCAAGGGAAAGGGAAAGGTGTTAGAGAGAAAGGGGGAGGCTCCCCAGTGGATCAGGAGATAAACAATGACATAGGGATGAAAATGCCATTGGAGTAGCTCACAAAGAACAGCCATGGCTGGGGGTTGTGTTCCTACTTGAGGATTCTAGAAGCATCTGGTATCCCTAAGGAGTTCCAGGAGATCCTTTATGAAGGAACTGAGACTTGGAAACAGTTGGGAAGCACTGGAGGATTCTAATAGTCTGGTCTCTTGCTCAGACCTATGTAGCTATAACCAGTTTATGGCACAGTCTGAGGAACCTGTGAGTGATGCTCTTTTGAGAACTCGCCTACAATAATACCCTGCTAGAACAGGCATCCCGCGCGCCCTGGACGCATTAAGGAGAGGCGTGCACTGCAGGTTTTTCCCTGGTCTCTTTTTCAGGACTTAGACACCAAAGCAGACAACAGATTGTCACAGTTGGTTTTGTGTGGCTTCCAAGTGGAAACCGGTCGGGTCCACCCACTATTTACTTTGTATTTATGTTGGCAGTCAGGAGAGAATTTCCCCTTTCCAGAGAATCTCAGCAGCTGACGTTGGGCCAGATTCTCACCCTGCCTTTGTTTGTACCTTCGTGTTGTGATGCAGGCAGATAGAGGGGAAGGGAAAAGAGCAGCTCCCAGGCTTAAACTAACCTTTGCCCGAGATCCCTCCCTCAGTGTTCGTGGGCCTCACCAGCAGAGGGTGACGTGGAACTGTGACCATCTCAATCACCTATCTCGTCCATGGTTCCTGTCTTAAAGATGTCTCTCTTAGCTGGACTTTATAGAGAACAGAAGGGAGATAGACTTTGCCGTGGATAATCACATTCAGGTATATGGCTGTATGCTGCTGGAGAATTGAACATGGATGAGCACTCAAGTTTTAAATTCCGTTTATGTTCACAGAGTGAAGCCCTCGCTTTTGGAATATTTAAGCTACCATCTCAACTTTATGAGTGTCATAGCTGGCCCTTGTAACAACTTCAAGGACTACGTAGCCTTCATTGAAGGGAGACATATACATATGAAGTTGCTGGAAGTGAACTGGAAGCAAAGAGGTTTTCACAGTTTGCCAGAACCTTCTCCCACTGTAAGTTTTCAGCATTCAGCATGTTTCTTGGGGTTTCATAGAAAGGGTTTTACTCTCAGGGCTGACTCTCGCTAATAGTCATTATAATTAAGGAGTCATATAGCTGGGAGTGTAGCTTTTTGATAGAGCTTGCTTAGAATGCACGAGATCCGGGGTTTGATCCTTAGAATGGAAAAATGAAACAGTAAAAGCCAAATGTCAAACAGCTTAGCAGAGAGCTAGACCAATCATCTACACCCCCATTTGATTAAAATCAAATATAGGCAATCATTTAAACTGTTCTCTATGTTAGATCACTTAGTTCAGCGCCAGGCTCTATTCTCAGTTCATATCGTGTCCACTCACTTAAGCCCCAATCAGTTCTGCCAAGGATGCCATTGCTGTGCCATATTAGAAAGGATGCCCATTTTTATGAAGTTGGAAACTACAGACCTGTAACATGATACTTCCTGGAAGTCAGAGGAACTGGGCGAAATTACCGAATGTTGACTAACCTAGAAGTCAGGACATCCTAACCCCAGATGTTGTGGTTTGTGTCTCTGTTGCTCTGATAAAACCATGATCAAAAACAGCTAGGGGAGGAAAGGGCTTATTTAGTTACAAAGAGGCCAATGCAGGGACTACAGGAAAAGTCCTGGAGTCGAATTAAAGCAGACACCACAGAAGTGCTTGCTGGCTTGCTTGCAGGCTCCTGTTCAGCTACCTTTCTAGGCCTAGGCCCAACTGCCTAGTGGGCCCTCCTACATCAACTAGCAGTTAGGAAAAACCCCATAGACATGGTACAGGCCAGTGTGGTGAAAGAATTTTGTCAACTGAGCTTCCCTCTTCTCTGGTTATAATAGCCTTTTGCTGTGGAACAATGGTCTTCTACACTGTAAAGATTTGTTGGATGTATTGCTTTAATAAAATGCTGATTGACCAGTAACCAGGCAGGAAGTATAGGCAGGGCAACCAGAAAAGGAGAACTCTGGGAAGAGGAAAGGCTGAGTCTGAAGTTATCACAGAGGAAGCCAGGCACAGAGGAAGCAAGATGAAAATGCCTTGCTGATAACAGGCACCAAGCCATGTGGCTACTACAGACAAGAATAATGGGCTAATTTAAGATGTTAGAGTTAATAAGAAGCCAGAGCTAATAGGCCAACCAGTTTATAATTAATGTAGACTTCTGTGTGTTTTTCTTTGGGACTGAGCCACTGTGGGACCAGGCAGGTTAGAAATCTCTGCCAATAGCCTTGTGACAAAATAACAGATGAAGCTAACGATGACACCAGTGTAAACATTTGAGTCTTCAGAAGCAAATACTCTACATTATCTGCCCACGAACTGGCTCAGGTGTTCAGTCACCTGCACAGAATCCATTATACTGGAAGCTTCCACCTCCTGGCAGGTGATTCAAGCATGTTTCCCTGCCTCTCCAGGCTGTACTGGTGGAAAGCAAATGGTTACTGCTTTCTAGTGTAAAATTTCTACCCTATGATAAGGGTATCCATTCCCTATGTTTTGGAAAAACAACCCTATCTAACTTATGTTGGTAGAAGATGCTAAAAGACGCATTCAGCTATGTCCCGCGTTTACTGTGAACACCTCCAATCCTCAAGGGTTACATGTCTGTTCTGCATCTAAATATATCATCTAACCTAATCCTATCGGTTTGTGTCTTGAGGAAGAAAACCCATATCCATCTACTGCCCTTTCTAGGGAAGATTTTGGATGACCACGTTCTTGAGATGCTCTTGCCAAAACTGTGGTCCTCACACCTGAGTAGTTACATTTGGTTTTCCTCCATTTCTAGGGAGCTGTGATACAGAAGTTGTGTATGACCTTACTGTCTCTCCTATTGTTTTTGACGCTCTCAAAGTCCTTTCCTGTCACCTTCCTTCTTGATGACTGGTTTGTACATAAGGCCAACTTTCTGAGTCGACTCTGGTACTTATATGTCGTCATGCAAGCTGCAAAGCCCAAGTATTACTTCGCGTGGACGTTAGGTAAGTTTGAGGGAATGGCCCAAAATGAATGAGGAATGCAGTGATCCTCCTTGGATGGTTTAGCCAGAATATCATTCAGTGCAGTACAAAATTAAGAGAAAATTCCAGGACAGTCTGGCTTGCTTTTTTTTTTTCTGGGTTGTATGACTGAACAATGAATTTTACCATTACACATGTCAGTTGAGGTTGCACACAGTGAAGGAAATGCTGGTTGAGCTTGATGCTTCCGAAGGAAGATGAGTTCCAGGTTTTCCTGTTCATGGTGAAAAGCTCAGTATTATTATTATTATTATTATTATTATTATTATTATTATTATTTATCACACATCTTTTTTTTTTCTCTCTCTCTTGAGGCGCATTGGCAATCTCAAGGTTTATCTCTTTCCTTTGAAAGAATTCTAGATGGAGTTGTTTAAAGCCTTGCTAAGAAAAGAGCCTATGCATTTACCAACGCTGCTTTTGATTTAAGATGGAAAGGTCAGAGAGCAGCGACTTGGCTTCTCGAGTCCGACTGGCCATTCAACAGTCCCCAGTGTTTTGTCCACAGACTGCAGGTTAGGGAATAGCACGTGACTCAGGTCCTCTTCTTAGTTTGTGTTTCAGGTTTTAAAATCGAAATTAAACTTTGCAGATGCGGAATTATTTTCTTCCTTCAAGTACATGTAATGTGAAGTACACGGCTTTGGCCATTTGGGCTTGCAATCCAGCATGGGTAGGTTTAAGACTGAGAGCCAGAAACTTTCATTGCCCCAAACATAAACTTTGTACCCCTTATGCTTTTCTACTGGGGCCAGGTTATTTTTAACTGCAAGAATATCTACGTGTAAGTTCAGTCCAAATGCAGCACTTCCGTAGCCTTTGGCCAAAGCCATCAGACTTTGAGCTGTTTGTTTTGTTTCTGTTTGAGGCAGGGTCTTACCATGTAGCCCTGGCTGTCCTGGATCTCGCTCTGTAGACCAGAGATCCACCTGGCCCTCTTTGCTGGCACTAAAGGTGGGAGCTACGACATCCAGCACCAGAGCTGTATTAGAATTTATGGGGTGCTGTGTTTTGTTTCCATTTCCACTTGGTTTAATTTAAGGGGTGTTTGTTGAACACCAGGCTTTGTGCTAGGAAATGCCTTCTGCATCTCGAGACTGTGGCATTTTGTGGGAACACAGACCTCTTCATCATCTGGGCAGGAGGCATCAAGAGTTGCCTCAGTGGTACAATATGTGCTTCAAAAGCCTGTCGTCCTCCTACCCTTGATTCTGCTGTTGCTTTGCTAGTTAAAAATGCTGCCCTTTTTCCTACTTTGGTAGCTAGGCATCTCTATTTTGGGTAGCTAGGATTCTGTTTGGATCCCTGTATATATGTGTTTTCCCATGCAAAATAGTTAATGCTTTTTCTTTGCTCTAACCTGAGTACAAATGTGTATAGGTGTGTGTGTGTGTGTGTGTGTGTGTGTGTGTCTTGAGGAGGAGCGAGGATGTCTTTTTCCCTTTTACTGCATTCTCTGTTTCCACTTACTTTGCTTTCTCTCTTCTCCCCCTACCCTTTCTGTTCCCACCTTTTGTATCTCGGGGCTTTAGGGCTGGCTTTGGAGTAAACCAGCTCCAGATTTATGGAGAAAAAAGGCCATTCCGTGGCCTTATGGGGAGAGTCTGACACAGGTGGGTGTGGTTTGTGCCGACAGGGTCGGGGTGGGAGGGGTGGCAGGGAAGAGAATGTCATTCTGCACTTGAGGAGAACCCCCGAGACTTTTGGAGTGTGGACACGTTTCCTCTGGGCAGCTTGCTCTGTGCACTGAGCTCTTCCCGATCGCCTCGGTCCCATCTTTTATGTCTTCCTGGTTGTTTAGTGGAAACATTTCATTAATGGCTTTGATTTGAAGTTTTTTCCAGTTTCGATTCCACGGGCTGGTCTGAAATTAACCTTTGTATTATTTATGAATAAAGAAGCAATGAATAGTCCATCGGGGAATATTTAAATTGCTTAACCGAATAATTGTTTTATCCAGCTCTTTAAAATGCCATTTTCATATAACTGATGTACTAATTATAAATTTAATCCTTAAAGCCTCTCGTGGATGTCAGTTGCACTGCACTGTGTTAGGCTTGCTCTAGTTACTGTTTATATAGAAATAATAAATAAATCTAATAAATAATAATAAACTTATTTTCTTTGGATTTAACATCCAATTCTAAACGCCCCCTCCCCCCCAACCAACTGTTACTCATTTAAGAGGCTCAACTGTTAAGCTGTGTTCTAAGGAGGAGCTCCAACAAAGGGGTATCCTGATCGGTTTGTCTGCCATAGTAGGTTACATCATGCGTGGAGAAAGGGAAGCCGGTTTGGGGCTATGAGTCAGAACCTCCCTCTGGCTGCTCTCGGTCATGATGGAATCTTAGATAAACTTCTGCAGAAAGCGCTGTGCGGAGCAGGGAATCCTGACTCTCCAAATAGGGTGATTCTGGGAGCTAGCTACCTCACAAAGGAGCTCTCAGCCTTTTAGGATGTGGAATCGGTTCTGGCCTTCAGATTCTGGCACTGCTCACACTGAAATGGTCTGCACATTGAACGGACATCTCCACTCTCCATCCCCTTTGCATTCCCATTAGCAGAGGCCATTATGATAAAAAAAATGGCCTCCACCATCCTCTCTTGATTGCTTCCTGGATGGGTCCTGTGTGTGAACTTTGTCCACTTTCAACAGCTTCTTCAACATAGGTGCCGTTGTTATGTCCGTTTGATCCTTAGGGGACAGGCTTCTAGAAGTTCGTCACCTCCTCTAACTTCTGCATTCTATGCTGCTGAGTTTATCCTTACCGACCCTCCTCATGCCACCGTGATGGGAGATAAAAGATACTTGAAAGGTGTGGGGTCCAGAGACCCAGAAAGGTGTGGTGGTGGCTCATCTTGATGGCCAGCTTGCTGGGATTGAGAAGCATGCAGGTTATTGGTACAACACACTTCTAGGTGTGTCTGTGTGGGCATTTCCAGAGATAGTGAGCCGAGAGGCAGTTCCATTCCCGCAGGCTGGCAGCACCAGACCTAGGCTGAAGGGACCGAATGTGGGAGAAGGAGATAGATGGGCACGGGAATCCTTGTTCTTTATGCTCGCTGAGTGCCACAATGTGACATGCTCTGCCACACCCACCTTCCCTCCAGTGATGGATTACAACCTCTGGGCCTGAGTCAATCTGTCCCTGCCTTAAGCTGTTTTTACCTGTGTGTTGTGGAAATCTGACTATCACAGACAATGACCAGGGAAAACACACATTCATGCACACACGATCACTGCTTGGTTCTTTTCGGCTCTGACTCGAAGTGGTGGGCACAAAACTAAAGGAGGAGACAGGAAGTTAAGGATTACTGTGCTGGCCTTGCCATGGGCTGCCCAGCTGTGATTTTAGCTGTCACCTAGTTGACATCTGTCATTCATAGATTTCTTCTCACATATACGAAACCATGAGGCCCCTCTTCGGGCCTCTGCTTTCTTTGTTTCCTTTTTCTTCTCTACTGAATTTCCCTCTGAAGGAGAGAGGATGGCATGGGGCTCTGTCCTTTTAAATCCTGTCTCCTACGAGAAACCAGATAGTTTTCAGTGGAAGCCAAGCCTAAGATAAGCATCGTTAAATCATCAGCTATGCCAAAAATAGAGGAGATAAACATTAAGCTGCTCCCTCCCTGTCCTGGGGATGAAACCCAAGATCAGTGTTAGACAAATGCTCGACCACTGAGCTCAGAGCCAGCCTCCCACCTGGAGGATGCCAGTTTCTTTAGTGTGACTGTTCTGAAGGCAGGCTCCTCTCCAGCGGGTCTGAGAGCTGTCTGCATTTGGACTTAAACCTTTATGGGCGAATCCTCTCGGACCTCCTCCAGTCTTGAACTGGAAAGGGCTTTGATTTAATTAGTGTGAGTCACTGGTGACTTCTTTTCTTGAAGAGCATATTCTAACAAAATTTGGAATATGATAAAGGAGAAAAATAGTCTCTTGGTCTTCATCATAACAGCGAGGGCTTGTCAGGACTCTGGTCGGTTACAAAATGCCTCATTACGGCATTGATTTGAGGTAGATTGTTCCTTTGAGGGCCATTTTCATACAGTGAAAGTTAAGTAAATAAAGATGGAAGCAGGGGCTTTCAGAATGACTTTGTGAGTTGGGATGGTTTGCTGTTTTCTTTTCTTTCTTTCTTTTTGAGCCAGAACTTTCCTGTGTAGTTCAAACTGGCCTTCAAGTTCCTCCCATAGCCCAGGCTAGCCTTATATTTGCTGTGCAGCCCAGAATAATCTTACTCTCTTGATCGTCCCTTCCCTATCTCCCAAGCTCTGCTACCACACACTGTGGCCCTTGTGGTTTCCACTGGAGCGGGCTCCCAGTTCCCAGCTCAGCTTCTCTACCTTGTCGTAAGCTTTCCTTAGCCGCATCTTGCGCTAACCCATCAGCCCCTTTATGTAGCCTGTCCTTCCAGAACAGGCTCTCTCCTGACATAGTCCACTACCCTTTAACACCTGAGATGGTTAATGTTGCTCGTCCCCTTGGTGGGATTTCAACTCCCCTGCAGCACATGCCTCTGGACACGCCTGAAGGTATTGCTAGAGAGGCTTAGCTGAGGCTTGACCTGCCTGAGTGAAAGGGGCACCATGGTTTCGGGTCCTGGACTGAATAAAAAAAAGAGAAAATGGCCAGAGAGTCAGCGTTCCACCTCTCTCTCCGCTTCCTCAGTGTGACCAGCTGCCTCCTGCCCCACCATACCTTCCCCACCAGGAGCCAAAGTATGCCTTTCTTAAATTGCCCTTGTCTCAGCCATGGGGAAGGCAACAAATCCCGTGTGTTGTATCTTTAGTGATAACTCTTGGTCTCCACCGTGTCCCTTATTGGCCTTTACTTCTAAGCAGTAATGTATTTTGCCTTCTTCTCTTCCCCTACACCTTGCCAATCACTGAATCCCACTACTGACCTCGTCACATCATTTCTTCACCCCTCCTGAACGCTCCTCTGTCCATTCTATGGGCATCTATTTTAGCAAGCATTCAAAGGCTACACAACAAATGAATAGAAACCAAGGTCACCAAACAGCCCAGTTCATAATGTTGCCAAATCCTTTGTGTGTGTGTGTGCGCGCGCGAGTGTGTGTGTTGGCACATTTTCCAAGAAACTATCGAATAAGCATCCAGTGTGTAGCTAGACAAATGTTTGCAGTCCTTTAGAGACCTTTGCCTGGTTCCTGACGTTTTGTCTTAAAACCACAGCGGACGCGGTACACAATGCAGCTGGCTTTGGGTTCAGTGGTGTGGATGCCGATGGGCATTTCTGCTGGGATCTGCTCTCTAACCTGAACATCTGGAAGATTGAGGTGAGAACACTGCGCTTCTGGAAGAAATGGCCACAATGAATACAGCAAGCAGTTGCTTTGAGTGTGGGAGTCCAAAGTCCTTCGTCAGGGTGTCTAGGAAAGCTGTTTGGGGAGATGCCCGACCCCATATTCTCCTCACCATTTGTATTTCAGATTGTTGCCCACTCCTCCTCTTCCTCCTTCACGTTATCATCATTTTGCTCTCAGGATACCTTCTTTCTTGACACTTTTAATGATTCAAGGAAAAAGTGATACCAAAAATTTGTAAAAGAGCTGGGAAAATCTTCCTATTGTTTAATCCTTGTTCTACCAACCAGAAAGTAAAAATGCCGTTTTCTTTCCTTTGCATCAATCCAGAGTGTGGACCAGAGGCTGTGCCTTTAGACTTACACGTGCTTGGCTGCGGGTTTTTTTCGTGGGGGGGGGGAATTTTAATTCATTTGTTGTTTTTTTTTTTTTTTTTGAAGAACTGTCCCAGTGCACACCTTTTAGACCACTAGGATACTGTGTCTCTCCGTCTGTCTTTATTCTTGGACCATAGTTCTCTTTGTGCCTTCGGAGACAGACATGGTTCCCTTCAAACCATACTGTCTCAGTGTGCTTTATTGTACCTCGTTTGCACTTGCACAGACATGACAGCCAGGGCAGAGAGCCTTTCATCCTCCAGCAGTCGAGGAAGGCGAAGCTTCTCATTGTGCAGCAGGAGCGCTGGTCCCCTAGGCAGCCCACTTAGGGTGGCTCTTAGTCTCTTATTTCCATCTATCCTGGTGCAGACAGGGAGAGCAGGAAATCTGGGCGACTGGCCATCTTCCACCCACATTTCACGGAAAACAGACCCAAAGGAGCCACCCAGAGAACCACCATCTTCTTCCGCCTGCGGCCTTCTGCATTTGGAGGGCTTCCAGGGGGAAGGAGGCCTTCGTTTCACCTACCAAAAATTTATAAGGAGGGTTGGATTTCCTCCTCCCCATCCTTCTCTTCCACCTCTTCCTTTTCTTCTTCCTCCTCATTTTCTTCCTCTCCCTCCCCTTTCCCCTTCCTCTCCCTCCTCTTCTCTCTTTTCCTTTCTATATTCTTCCTCAGCCTCCTCTCCTTCACGTCTTCCTCCTCGCCTCCTCCTTTTCCACTTTGTGCCTGTTCCCTCACCAAATTGCATCATATATTCAATTTAAATGCATGGTGCTATTTGATGCCTCAGCTTTATCAGATTGCATAAGCAATGAGTCCCAACTCTGGCGGAGGGAATGCTGATCTTTAGATTCTAGAGAGTCTGAGGGCTTCTTGGGTGAGAAAGCCCTGGCAGATATGGTTAAAAGGGGGAAAAAAAGTCCAAATTTAGAACTGGTTCTGAGTGAGCAATTTTCCCCATTCCAGTAAGCCACTTCTTCAATAGGAAGTTTCCAGACATCATAACCACCTTTCTCATTCTTGAAAAAACCTGTGAAGACTGCAGTTGTCAGACAAAGCCCTTGGGTTTAAGGACATCGCTCCCTTGGAGCACTCACTGTAGGTCACTGTCCTTCAGGGCTGACCCGCTTGGCTTTTAGTTGCCCATGAATTTCCCCCAAGTGTAAGCAAAAGACAGAATCCTTTCATTTTGGATGTGTGCATGGGGTCAAAGGCTGATACTAAGTTACATTGTTACTGAAGAGAAAATGAGAACACTAATTTTCATTGTATTTGGTATGGGGTAAGAACAATGGAACTACAAGGAAGTCTGGCTTAGATACAGTGCTTCAGGGCCGAGTTTTATAGCAATCAGCTAGCTAGGCAAACAAAAACAAACTGGGTGTAGCAATAAAAAGTCAATAAATAATAGCTCTGCTAACAATCTGTCATGCATATCTGTTATGTTACTTATCATTCATTTACCTTTCATCTGTCATCTGCCCATCTGTTTTCCTCTTATCTTCCATTTATCTAACTGTCATCTATCCGTATCTATTTACCCGGCTTAGAGTTTCTATCGCTGTCATAAAACTCCATGGCCAAAAGCAGCTTGGAGAGGAAAGGGTTTATTTTAGCTTATCCTTCCACATCATAGTCCATTACTGGGGGAAATCAGGGCAGGAATCTGGAGGCAGGAGCTGATGCAGGGACTGTGGAGGGATGCTGCTTACTGGCTTGCTCACTAATGACTTTCTCAACCTGCTTTCTTATACATCTTAGGACCACTTGCCCAGGGGTGGCACTGCCCACAGTGCCCACCACTCCCACACCAATCATTAGTGAAGAAAACAACCTATATTTGCTTATAGACAATCTGTTGGGGGCATTTTCACAACTGAAGAGCCTCTTCCCAAATAAGTCTAGCTTGTTTCAAGTTGACAAAAAAACTAAGAATTGTACTACCTATATATCTAGTATACCATTTATCTATTATCATGTGTTCTCTTTCATCAGCCTATCATCTGCACTGTCTATCTATCATCCGTCAGACCATCTTGCAGTTATATGTCATCTATATTCCTAACCTATTCTCTCCTTTCAAGCTCATTACATTAGGCAGGTGTGTGGCCTACACAGGGTTTCTTATGACTGAACATTTTCTACAGGAAAAGCCACACTTCTTGTTACTCTTTGAACAAGAAAGCACGGTTCATGGCGTATTTGGGGCTGTCTTCTTTGGCAGTTGACTGACTTACACTATTGCCATATGGGTGAAATTTCTAGATCTTCTTTCCTGTATTGTGATCCCTTCACGCATGAAGTCTCTTCCTGTTCCAGGCAAAATTGGATGCAGCTGGGACTGTGAGGCTATTTATAGAAATGACTGTAAAAGGCTGACCTAGTTTGCACGTGGTCACATAGCACAGAGATAAGAGTCTCATTTAATTTGTCCCCAAAGCCCCACCATCATATAATTAGACTTTCCCTGTGGTAAATCCCCTTTTAGAGTAGTTTTAAGACATTTGACTTTGTTTTTTAAAAATCAGAGTGTGAGGGAATTGACAGAATTTCTCCCTCAGTTTGGCTCCTAATGTAAAAATAAGTTTTGAGCAGACTTGAGCCTCCAAGCCAAGGTTTAGCTGCAAAGTAAATCTTATAAATGCCAGAAAATGTTACTGCCGGCGGCGAACAGCTGATTGACTGAACTGTGCAGAATCCTGCTTGAGATTCACATCAGCTGTAGATGCAAGGGAGTTCTGGGCAGGACTTTCCCTTGCTCGGGCGTTTTAAAAGCTAATGATAGGTGTTGTTTTCCTGTTTCTAGACTGCTACGAGTTTCAAAATGTACTTAGAAAACTGGAATATTCAGACGTCTACTTGGCTGAAATGGTAAGGGACACAGAACTGCCTTATTTTTCATGGCAGGGATGTGCTTGGGGACTTCCTAGCGGAGCAGCAGGTGCCTGCCAGTCATGCCATTTGACACTTTGACAATACTGTCCACATCTTATAAATACAGAAATAGGAGTGATGAATTGAGAAGACCCCAGCATGTGCCTGTTTCATCCCAGAATGCTCATTATTCAGTTCCACACACTAGCTTGTTCCTTGTAGCAGTCCTGTGAGATGCTATTAGCTGGATTGCTCTGTTTTATCGCTGAGGAAAGTGAACAGAGGGGTTACATGACAGGCCCAAAGTCACAGATCTGTGAGTGACAGATACAGATCCAAAGGTCTGTTCCCGGAACTAGGCTTTTGACTTCTCTCTGTTTGGCTTGATACCCAGGAGTGTCTCGTTTTCAGATCTAAGGAAGTCAGTGTCAACATCAGATCCCTTATGAGAGCTGCTGCTGTCCCTGGCTCCGAGAGCTCTACAGTACCCCCACATGCCTGGATTTGTACTGACATTTCTCTGACCTGTTTCTATATGTGTTCTAAATTTAGAAGCGTTACTTGTTAGAAAATTATGAGTGTACTATCATTGGAATGCCAAACTCCACTTCGTGAACGCCCCTGAACCTGTAGAGAGCATGGGAAAATATAGGTTTTGGTTTTGATGAGCAGGGTCTTTCACAAATCTGAACCCTGAGGCCGAGCTGAGGAGGTAGCTGGGTGATTAAGTGTATACTGGCCTTGCAGAAGAGCCAAGTTCACTGCCTATCACCAGTAACTCAACCACCTGTCACTCCAGCTCGGAGGGACCCAGTGCCCTCTTCTGGCCTCCCAAGGTACAAGCACTCATGCGTAGAAATCCCCACACAGACATATACATAATAATGAATCTTTGAAGCGATTAAAGCAAAGCAAGCACCATGTCGTAGTTCTTCAAATAAAGGCAACGTGCTGCTCCCTGGAAGCTGCAACTTCCTGCAGTTCTGAAATTCTGATATGAACGTGCAAGCAGTTTTATCACCAGCCTTTATTCCTTTCTGCTGAGTAGTTCCGGCATGCTAAGAGTCACACAGTTTCCATTAGGGATGCACAGGACAAGATGATTGAGAAGGAAATATTTCACTCATGCAAAAAGATACAAAGAATTGAGAAAAATAAAAAATAAAAAAAGGTGCATGCTTAGTTCTCATGTCAAAAGGAAGTCTTACCGAGAGCAGATTTCCAAGCCTGTATTTTTCTTCCCAGTTGCATTTGTGTTCCTCTTGTTAAACGGAAATGAAACCCCAAGTCTGGGTGTAAGTCAGTTACTTTTGCTGGGCTGTGGTGGCGCACACCTTTAACCCCAGCCTTGGGGGGCAGAGGCAGGCTGATCTCTGTGAGTTTGGGTCAGTCTACGGAGTGAGTTCCAGGACAGCCAGGGCTCCACAGAGAAACCCTATCTTAAAAAACCAGCAACAGCAACAGCAGCAAAAATCGGTTACTTTTGCACCATCCATGGTGGGATTCTTGACACCTGCTGAGTTCACTGTTGCGTCTTCTCCTGGGACGCTGTCACCTACTGAAGAATGTAGTGGCCACCTTGACTGCCATTGGTGATGCGTAGCCAGAGTTCTGGGGATAAAGTCCCCTCTCACTTCCTATCACTAATTTTAATTTTGGCTCAAAAAAAGCCAAAGATTTTCAATGAACCAGCTGACTTTTCTCTAGCTTCTCACACTGTAGTACCCACACTGAGCATCCATCTCAGCCGAAAAAGCATGAAACCTCAAATGTCCCCCTATCTGAAGCCTTTTGAACACTAACATGATGTCTCATGAGGAAAATTCCCCGTCTGCCCTCACGCGACAGATGGCAATCAGAACACACACAGTAGAATATTGGATGACTCTTCCGGCTGTGTGTGGAAGGTGTATGCAAAACACAAATGAGCTTGTGTTTTAGGCTTGGGTCTCAATACCAAGATAACGCATGTATATGTAAGCATTCTGAACTCTGAAAAAAAAAATCCAAAATTGAAAAGACTTCTTGTTCCAGGCATTTAGGATAAGAGCTACTCAACCTCTATCTTGATTTAAAATTTGTCGGGCTCAGAGCAGATCCTCCAAATATCATACTAATTTCTCACTAGAGTTCCTACCAGAAAGATAAAAAGGGTTGTCATGTTGATTAGTCAGGTGGCATGGGGCCTGGTTGGAAAGATAAATTAATGTTGGCTAAATGAAGATAATTCCTACAGATGCTTATCTGGCGTTCGGGCATCTTAATGCCATTGGCACTCTTATTAGTGCCTCTAGTGGATTCACCCTTTGGTGGAACCTGCTTCTTTAAGGCAGGAACTTGAGTTGAACGAGACCACTGAGACCTTTGTTATAACAGACCATGTGATGGGGCCCAGACCATCTAGTCTAGTGAGGTTAAAATTGATAGCAGAGCCATGAGCTGTGTGGTTGATAGTGTTCCAGGATGCCAGAGAAGCACAGGCTGCCGGTATTTCATTGCAAGCTCCTGCTAAGATTCAGGCAGGCATCTCTCAGGGTGGACCTGAGGACTTCCACGTGGTCGGCCCCAGGGAGGTGCAGGTGGAGGGCATGCAGGGTTTGTGCTGGGGCTTTGCTAGTCCTTCCTCTCTTTGCAGTGTGTGCTACGAACGAGTTCCCTGGTACCCTACTGTGTTCACCTTCGTCCTGTCTGCTCTGTGGCATGGCGTTTACCCTGGATACTACTTTACATTCTTAACTGGAGTCCCTGTCACGTTGGCAGCTAGAGCGGTAAGCACCCTTCAGCTGTTGGCGCTTTTCCTCTAGCAACCTGGTGTGTGTGTGTGCGTGCATATGTGAGTGTGTGTGTTTCTGTTTGCGTGTGTGTGTGTGTGTGTATGTGTGCTTATGTGTTGTTCTCCTTTAAGCAGGGGTGAGTTGAAGGTTTGGGATTGTTGGGAGTGACTTTTTCTTTTTCTTTTTTTATTTTTTATTTTTGAGACAGGGTTTCTCTGTAGTTTTTGGTGCCTGTCCTGGAACTAGCTCTTGTAGACCAGGCTGGCCTTGAACTCACAGAGATCCACCTGCCTCTGCCTCCCAAGTGCTAGGATTAAAGGCGTGCGCCACCACCTCCCGGCTGGGAGTGACTTTTTGATGTAGAGTGATAAGTTCCCCCATGGAATACTTTTTATTTTCTTTTCTTGGAATGATATTTGGAAAAATCATAATGTATAAAAACCTTTGCTTATCACAGAAGTACTTCAATGTATAGGGACTTGCCGTTGTAAAAGTGATTAACTGATTCACTTGCAGAGAGTAAAACAATAAGAATTTTATGAGCAACAGATTACTCCCTTGAGAAACAAACACATTTCTCATCACTAAAAACTGGATGCACATGTACAGATGATCATGTTTATTAATTAATGCAGGTTCTATCACACTTCAGTTTGTTGATACCCTGCTTAATGTCCCGTGTCATTCTACTAAGCCTAGAAGGCATTCACGGTGTCTCTGAGAAGTCAGTGAAGTAGCACTGTATCGGAACTGCATCTACTGGGGCCAGACCTAACCCCATATGGCCGATACAGTCAGCATACAATTACTCTGTTAAGTACAGCATTTTAGGTTTGGTTTAATCTTGTCGTTTGATCGTGGGTATAGTCTTTCTTATTTCAGGCTCCAATAACGTTCATCGTGCTATATGTAAATTTTGCTATCTACTCATTTTGCCTGATGTGTGTGTGTGCTGGGGGGTGGCTGGTAGGTGTTTGTAGGTGCGTTTGTAATGTGTGCGTGGAGGACAGAAGACAGCCTTGGGTGTCATTTCTCAATTGGCACCCTCTATTTCTTTTTTGAGACAGGATCTCTTGCTGGCCTGGAACTCAAAGCAGGCCAGGCTGGCTGCTAACGGGCCTCAAGGATTTGCCTGTTACCCTGGTATCAGAACTACAAATGGATGCCATGATGTCTGGCTTTTGTATCTTTTTATTTTTAATTTTAATTGCTCCTGGATATTCACTTCACAACTGGGTTATCTCCCGAGCTTGTGCTATTTGATCATTCTTCAGTGCAGTTTTCTATGACGATTTCAGCAGCTCTGTCACATGTCTGTCAGTGTACAGGTGTCCAGATACCACAGTGGATAAGACAAGCTCTCCCCTGAAGCTTCGTGTTTTACTTAGATTAGATGAAGTATATTAAATCCTCCATACAAACAAGGTAAAAAAATTGCTATTTCTGCTAATTTCAAAAATTCTAAATATTAAATACATACTCAAGAACAGATTGCTAGAACAAACGAAAAAATAAAGGTCAGCACTTTGCTCGCTAACATATCCCGAGTCCGTGCCTTGAGTTTCTTTACTCCAGTGACCTCTGACACAGACTCTGATTTATGAAGATCTTGTCTATTGCAGCCTTGCAGACTGTTTTCACAAGTAAGGTAGGTGGTGGATGGAAAGGAGGATGGATGGAGCAGAGCTTCCAGTTTTTTCTAGCAAGGGAATGAACTCAGCAGCTATGAAGGCCTAGGCTTCTGGAGGTTAACTACTTAGCTTTGAAAATTTCATGTTCACTGCCCAGTGTTTCTGAATGAATGGAACCCCAGACTCTGTTTTGAAGAGGTGAGAGTGGAGGAAAAGGGCTGTTGTTCTTGGTGGGGGGGGGTTGCGGGAGTCTATGTTTTGCCTTACTTTTATTTTGAAACAGAATCTCCTGTGGCTCAGGCTATCTTGGAACTCCCTACCTATCAAAAACAATGACTCCGAACTTTTGATCCTCCTGCCCCCACCTCTGGACTTCTGGAGTGCTGGGATAATAGACCTGTGCCATCATGCCCAGTTTGAAGAGATGCTGGGGACTGAGCCCAGAGCTCTGTGTATCATAGACAAGTAATTACCAACTGAGCAAATCCCCAGCCTAAGAAAGGTCTTTAGTGCTGTTGACTTGCCAGAAGACTTAACAGACTCAGGCTGTGTGAAAGATTAGCAGAGACATAGCACACAGTAAGCACGCAGTCAATAGCCGTTGCTTTCAGTTATGGTAATAGTTCATACTTGTTCCCTTGTAGCCATGGAAACAGGGTACAACACAGAGACTTATCAGTAAGAGTGTGCACCACAAAACTAGAACAGGCAGACAAGCTCACTCTCCCCTAATTACCTAAATTCACTGATGATTGATATTTATGGACATGGCAAAAAGTCTACAACAGATAACACCAAAAACAAACAAACAAAACATCAACCTGGCTAAAAATTCACCAGGGCCACTAAGAATATGAATGTAGATACATATAAATAGAAAAGGCTTTTGAAGGCTCTGTGCCAAGTTCTTTTTTCTTTTTTTTGGGGGGGGGATAGGGGAGGATGGTTCAAGACAGGGTTTTTCTGTGTAACCCTGGCTGTCCTGGAATTCACTTTGTAGACCAGGCTGATCTTGAACTCACAGAGATCTTCCTGCCTGTGCCTCCCGAATGCTGGAATTAAAGGTGTGCCAAGTTCTTAAACTGTTTTTTTTGGGGGGTGGGGTGGGGTAAAAATGTTATATATAATAAACATATTATATATAAGCACATATTTATACATTACGCATGAATGCATGCATAATACATACATACATGCATTCACACATACACCCATACTTGGAATAAGAAAAGCTATAGTGGGGTTTTGGTTGAAAATGGAGCTCAGATGGTCGGATATGCTCTTCAGCCTGTGATCCCGTGGTCCTACTTCTTGTGTGTGATGGAGTGGAAGTTGTTTACGTTTTCACTCCTGCCTTCTACTTCTGCCTTCTTGCAGATGAGGAACAACTACAGGCATCACTTCCTCTCCTCTAAAGCTCGGAAGGTTGCTTATGACGTGGTTACCTGGGCCGCCACGCAGTTGGCTATCTCCTACACAGCAGCGCCCTTTGTCATGTTGGCGGTGGAGCCCACCATCAGTTTATACAAGTAAGTTTCCAATGGTCTCAGCTGATGCCTGCTGCATTTATCTTCTTTCGACCTCGGAGCTGGTGAGCTGAATCAACATACTCACGAATTATACTAAGAACTGCTAGATGTGACTTGACTGGGAAAAATGCCTACAGAAGCAATGAGAGGAGATTACTGTGCCAAAGGTGCCAACCTGAGCTCCAATACCTGTGATGATGGCTGACAAGAATCCCTTAAGTCATCCGTAATGTTGTGAAAGGGCTCCTGTGGCCGTGCATTCAGAAGGGATGGATACAGAGTACAAACTCAGAGGATTCTCCCAGCAAGGTAGTGCACATCTGTAATCCCAGGCCGGACGGGCTTGAGCCTGGGCTATGAGATCTTGTCTCAAACAAAGGGCTAAAAAGGAGCCTGTAAATCTGCTCCCCCAAAGTGTGAATATCCTGCCCTTGGCTTCTTTTCCTGAGAATTAAAGTGTTAGAGAGTTGGATCCTCTGAGGCAGATCGAGGCATTCGGGTGTTGCTGCTGGTTGACTGAGTTTCATAGCCTGCAGAAGCACCTTGTGCCTTTTGCTAAAATCCAGTGCTGCTGTGTGTGCATGGGGATTTATATTCCCAGATGTGCATGATGGTGGGGGATAGGGACCAAATTTTAGGAAAAGGTATATCAGGTTTTGTATTTGAAAGATTATGCTCCAAATGAACTATGACCTATAGTCATGTACTTTTATATTTCATGTTCATGTTTAATTTTTTTTTCCTTTATGGAGTGCTTGAGCCGTCGGCCTTGAAATTATGTAATTTCACTGAGAAAGGAGGCTAAGAATGCCTCAGGCAGCCCTGTTAGGAGTGGGTGTGGGAACTGAGGGAGGAGCTTGCAGAGGACATAGACCAGTACCTCTAACGAGAAAAGGCTAACATACGTTATTTAGTGGACGACGCAGGCCTTTCCAGATTAACTTTTGTGTGTGTGCATGAGGGAGGGTATATGTGTGTGTACGTGTGTGTGTATGTGTGTTTGGTAGCCAGAGGTCAACCTTGCTTTCTAAGGTGGGGGCTATCATTTTGCTCCTTTATTAGATAATGAGCCCTTAAGGATCCTCCTATCTCCACCTGCCTCGCACTGGGATGGCAAGCATGTAATAAACAAGAACATATTTAGATTTTTAACATGTGTTCTGAGGATCAATTCAGGTCGTCATGCTTATGTGGCAAGTAATTACTTAACTGAGCCATCCTTCCAACCCCAAGGTTAGCCCCAAGGTTATTTAAAAAAAAACAAAAACAAAAACAAAACACACTCTGCTTATAGAGTGACTTAGAAATGAACAATGCTGTGTTGACGCCCCAGCCATGATGTTTAGGCGTGTTGATGCTTTAAACTAAAGGAACCAAAATCTCTGTTTCCCAGGCCCTATCTCTCTTTTGCTCTCCAAAGTGTAAGACAGAACTGCCCCTGAATGCCCTCATTCTGAGGCCTGAGTGTTTCAGATGACTTTTCATGTTGAAAGACCAGATTTAACCCCGCATCCAGAGTTCATGTGGAACTTTCTCAGATTATCTATTCATCCGGTCATATTTTGGCTAAGCCTAGAAAGGTGATCATTCTGACTCCACCCCTGCGTCCCTCCCACAACCCCCAAATCCTGCACCAGTACTGGGATTACAGGTCCGTATGGACATATCCGTATGTAGGGCTTTTCTTTTCTTAAACGTATTTGCTGGAGATCTAAGCTCAGGTCCCCTTGCTTGCACAACCAGCCCTCTCTCTCTAGCTCTGACTCACTCTAAAGAGAGCCACTAAATCTAGTAAAAGGAAATTCACAAGTCATGGCCATTTAGGGAAGGTGAGTGTAGTTGCCTTGCAGGTCTGTAGCTTGTTCGGGGTCAAGTTCACTGGCTGGCAGTGCAGGACAGCTACATACAAACTCATTTCTCAGATGTTCTCCATCTTTAGTATTTGTATTTCTGATCTGCTTTGTGTGAGACTGTAGTTACTTGTTTTTTATTCTTTGGACTATTTTGCTCTTTGGGGGGCCCACCACCCAGTCCCCAAATAATTACTTAATGAATGCCCAATCTTAGTATGGCTCATTTCTAGCTAGCTTTGCTTAACTTAAATTATCTCCACTACCTTTTGCCTCTGGACTTTTATCTTTCTCTATTTCTGTATACCTTTCTCTATTTCTTACTCTGTTGTGTGGCTGGGTGGCTGACTCCTGGAGTCTTTCTTCTCTGATTCCTCAGTCTTTTCTTCCTTCTTGATCTTTTCCTCCCAGATCCTATTTATTCTCCTATTCATTTATTCTTCTTCCCTTTCCTTCTTTCCTTCCTTCCTTCCTTATTTATTCTCTCTGCCTGCCAGCCCCGCCTATCATTTCTCCTACATTGATGTTAGCCATTCAGCTCTTTATTAGACCAATCAGGTGTTTTAGACAGTAAAGCAACACAGCTTCACAGAGTTAAACAAATGCAACATAAAAGAATGCAACACATCTTTGCATCATTAAACAAACGTTTCAAGCATAAACAAATGTAACACATTTCAAAATAATATTCTACAACATGAGATCTTGTCTTTAAAATGTTTTCTAAAAGTGAGAAAAAGGAAAAGGAAAAGAAACCTATGAAATTGTTTGAAAGCCCAATATTCATACTCTCACTTCTCTTCCAACAATGCTCTTTTAATTCAGTATGTAATTCAAAGGATGTTGGAATTAGGCCTGGGATAGCACAATTGACAAAGCTCTTTTCTTGCAAACTGAGGACCTGAGTATGATCCTGTCTTAGGGTTTCTGTTGCTTTGAAGAGGCACCGTAACCGTGGCAACTCTTACAAAGGAAAACATTTAATTGGGATGGCTTACGGTTTCAGAAGTTTAGTCCATTCTCATCCTGGCAGGACACGGCAGCATGCAGACAGACATGGTGCTGTGGAAAGAGCTAAGAGTTCCATATTTTGACCTGCAGGAAAGGGGAACTAAGTAACTACGTTACTGTCTCACTTGAGCACATGAGGCCTCAAAGCCTACCTACCCCACAGTGGCACACTTCCTCCAACAAGGCCATACCTACTCTAACAATGCCTCAGTTCCTATAGTGCCACTCCTTATGAGGTTATGGAGACCAGTCACATTCAAACCACCACATTACACTCCCTGGCCCCCATGAACTTGTAGCAATATTATAATGCAAAATGCATTTAGTCCAAAATTCAAATTCTTTTCTGAGATTAATGTAATCTCTTAACTGTAATCCCCTATAAAATCAAATCGAAAAACCAGATCACATACTTACAACATATAATGGCACAGGATATACATTACCATTCCAAACACAGGGAATGGAGCATAGTAAGGAAAGACCAGGCCAAAACAAGACCAAAACCAGCTGGGCAAACTCCGCATCTCCATGACTGCTGTCAAACGCTCTTCAGATCCCCAGCACCCACATACGAAGCTGGATGTGGTAGCACATTTGTTTTTGGTTTTGCTTTCTTATGAAGGGAAACATTTACTTCAGTGGCTTATATTTAAACAGAGACTGCTTCTTCATTTCCCAGCCACCCAGGCCTGAATAATCACACAGAAACTGTATTAATTACAACACTGTTTGGCCAATTACTTAGGCATATTTCTAGCTTGCTCTTACATCATAAATTAACCAATTTCTATTAATCTGTGTATCACCTCAAGGCTGTGGCCTACCAGTAAAGTTTTGGGGTGCTGGCATCTTTCTCCTTCTGCAGCTACATAATGTCTCCCTGACTCCGCCTACTCTCTCTGTATCTCTATTTGGATTTCCCGCCATAGGCCAAAACAGCTTTTTTATTAACCAATGGTAATAAAAGATATTCACAGCATACAGAGGGGAATCCCACATCACCTATAATTTCAGATATTTGGTCCATTATCATCATGGGGGGCATGGTAGCACGCAGGAAGACTTGGTGGTAGAGAAGTGGCTGAGAGTTAATACATCTTGATCCGTACACAGCAGGAAATGAACTGAACTCGGCGTATATTAAGCACAGGAGACTGCAAAGCCCGCCCTACAGTGACACTCTTCCTCCAGCAAGCCCACATCTGTTTCAACAAAACCAGACCTCTTCATTGTGCCACTCCTTTGGGGAGGCATTTTCGTTCAACCGCCACACCCACTTTGAGTGGCAATACTCTTGGTCCATGTGCTCACCTTAGAGGGATATTGCTATCCCATGGTGAGTTGATAAAGCTATCCTGATGCTGAGTCTCTTCCCTAGAAATATTATATTCTCTGGGCAATAGACACTCATGATAAATAATCCCTGTTGTGAAGACAGGAGAAATATCATCACAGGTTTCAGGTGGGCCTATATCTGGTGGTAGCTCATTTGTAATCTCAGCGCTGGGGAGGCAGAGACAGGAGAATCTCATTGTAGCGTGTCAGGCCAATCAGTGAAAGGCCCAGCCTCAAAGGAGATGGGCAGTATTTCTAACGAACAGCACCTGAGTGGGTCCTTTGGCTTTCATACACAGATGCACATATAAGCACCACATAAACACACACATTTAGAAAAGAAGAAGGCTAGAATCTATAAACAATTTGTATAGATAGCCAGCTTTTTGAGAAAGACACCATTTATATCTAGCGTACCAAAGTCAGTACTGAATGTGTTCAATAGATGATAGCTGATTTGAGATTTTCTATAGTAGAAAGGTGGAACATTCCACCAAGTTTTAGAGGAGATATGACCAACTTCACTAGGAGACTGAAGTTTGCTTTTCTTGACCGTGTACTTGGAGTTAAGTAAACATAACTGCCTCATGTCCCACAGGAACAAAGTATCTTAGGTGTGTTCATTTTGAAGTTGTAGTTTACTGTAACCCTGCCTGCGACCTCTGAGAATCCAGTCTATGCCCAGGGACTTTTAAAAGAGGCCCTCTTCACTCTCAATGTTCTTTTCATACTAAGTCAGCTGGCCGATTACTACTCCTTTGCTGTTTTAATTGCTGCTCATCGTATCCAGTCGACCCCAGGTCCATGGGCTGAGAATATTCTTAAGACACTGTCATACTGATGTCTCTCTCATGACATCATGTCTCCTTGAAAGACATGAACATCTGTACTCCAGATAGAGAAGAAACTGACAGATTACAGTAAGATCCCTAGAGTCCAGATGGGGAGTCAGTTAATTTATTGGGGTTATTTACCAAGCCATCAATGATTTTCAGGCTTGTTTCACCATTGAAAAGTAAAACCCCAGTCGGTTTTGTGTATCTGAAATACTGTGCACAGCTGGCATGGAGAGGAAGGTGTTGGAATCTCAGGGAAGCATCATGTGATAACCTCTTGATCTCCAAGTAGGGTACAAACAGCCACTTAGCCTGTCTGTGGATTTGCTTGCTGTTGCGTTACTCTGTTTATTCACCATCATGGCTGTGGACCAGGATCCTCTATAGATCGCTGCAGCCATTCTGCTTCAAGATGGGGCTAGTCCTGATAAGTCCAGAGGAAATTGGGTCTGTGGTGGACCGTGTATTCCTCTTATTTTCCTCTGGCTTTTTACAATGTATTCGGTTTTCTAAGTGTACTACATGTGGTTAAAAGCATAGAAGAGGCTTGTGCAGATTATATGTAAGTATTGTACTGTTATCTAAAGGAAATGGAGTGTCTGGAGATCTGCACATAAGCAGGTGTCTTGGGACTGATGACCTGTTTTCCCATTGCTCTTCTTACAGGGGACAAGGCAGAAACTCATGTTTTTTGTTTTTGAAATCCCAGTTTATACTTTTGTTGTTGGGGTGGTTTTTTCCTTTCCTTTCCTTTCCTTTCCTTTCCTTTCCTTTCCTTTCCTTTCCCTTTCTTTTCTTCAGTGCTGAGAATTGAAGCCAGGGCTCCACACATATCAACATGTGCTCCACCACTAAGCTCTCTCCTGGCCCTGTGCTCCATCCATCTTATCAATCAGTGTTCAAGGATCAAATGAGCAAGTGAAGATACATTAATGCTCTTGACTACACCACAAACATTTTGGGAAACCATTCCTCTTGCTAAAGGTGGAGCAGCTTAGGATAGATCTGAGTTATTTGGTCTTGTCACTACTGAGGAATGTTATATGCATCTGTTATGGATCCCTTGTCTTTTAACTGTGTTTTCTTTCATCTTTAGAGAACACTGGAGTGACGGGGAATACATCTCAGTGATGGAGTGCTTGCCTAACACACAAAACCCTAGGTTCAATCCTTACCATCTAGAGAAGGGGGAGGGGTGTGTGTGTGTGTGTGTGTGTGTGTGTGCGTGTGTATGTGTGTGTGTGTATGAGAGAGAGAGAGGGAAAGAGAGAGAAACAGAGACAGACAGAAAGCAAAAGCACAGGCGAGCAGTGTTGAGAGAGTCAGACTAAATTATTCGTTTAGCCTTTCTAACAGATCTGGAATCGTTATGCTAACAGAATTGACTTCTATTTACACATATTTATTAACAGGTTGTGCTCAGTGTTTACCTGGCATTTACACTGTGCCAATGACAGTCAACACTGAAGTAAAACTCCGTTCTTATTAGTTTGGATAGAACTTCTTTTCAATCTCTAAATAGAGTTTTCAAGCTACAGACCCTGGAGCAGCGAGATGGCTGGTGTGCAAGCCCGGCAACCTGAACTGAGTCCTTGGAACCCATGCTGGAAGGAGAGAACAGACTCCTAAAAGTTGTCCTCTGACCTCGCACGTGCTGTGGCACTTCTTTGCAAACCTCCCCACAACAAATCATAAAAAACAAAAAACAAAACCTTAGGATCCTTCTGGTTCCTGATAGAAGGATCAGAATCCCCCATCTTGAGAAGTACGTGAGAGATGAGGCTGTGCTTGCCTTAGAGGACAGAGTGTACTTCATGGGTTCTGTCTTCCTCAGCTTTTGAACAGCGGAAATATCTGGTTGCAGTTAGTTCTTTTGGTCTGGTCTGATTACGTAAAGGGGGCAGCGCTGTGTCTGTCCATCTCTGCCTCACCCAACCTTGTGGTTTCCTCCATCCTTAGCCCAGTCTCCTACCAGAGTTAGGGGCACATGGCAACCCTGGGTCATTGTGGCTCACTACTGCCACTGCCCCTCCTTGCCCCACTGAAGATGATGTCATCCTGGACGTTGTATATTTTTCCTTTATGCCCGTATTGAAAGGCAATTCTTGTGTTTTTACTTCTAGGTCCATGTTCTTTTTCTTACACATCGCAAGTCTGCTGGTAATCCTTTTCCTGCCAATCAAACCACGCCAGCCTCAAAGGCAGCCTCAGAGTACCAATTCCGTAAAGAAGAAGGCAGAGTGATACCCACAGAGAGAAGCAGAACGACAGAATTGCGGGACATTAGGAAGACACAGTGGACAGACTTGAGGGTTCTCCAGTGACTCAGAGGAGATGTTTACATGCGTTCTTTTTTTCACTGCAGGGAATATTTTTATACGTCCTTTTTGTTTGTACAGCTAAATCACCATGTCTAGCTTCGACCTCATATTTTACAGGGCCTTTCAGTGACACAGTGTGGAGAGCAGGCCACTGGGTGGGCTCTTCTGAAGTCATTTCCACCTGCTGAAATCTGGACGCATGGACCCAGGCATTGCCTCCAGCACTTAGGAGGTGTCTGCTGAGATGACTCGTCCTAGATTTCTGAAATCAGAACATTCCCAGGCATGATTTCCCCCTGGCAATTCCAGACTTACAGGGCTGTGGATACAGCTCCTACGCTCAGAAGCCCTTGGAGGGAAGTGATGATGGAGGAATATTTTCAGGGTGTTAAAAAAAAAAAAACACACAAAAACCAACCCTCCACTAACTGGGAAGATCAACCCTGACTGCTTGAATGGATTGGTGTGCCCTCAGACAGGCTGCGTTATTTCCCCCCAAGAATGTATCATTCCCTTTCTTCCTTCTGAACTGAGCCAAGATTGGAAATCAGAAAGTTTCCTGCCTGTGTGCCCCAGGAGCTGGGGAGAGGGTGAAGGCTACTGGTTTCCATTTCACCTGCTTTGATCTGCTGGACTTGACCTACGCTGGCCCTGAGAAGGCACCCAGACACTGATCCTGTCAAAGGTGGCAAATACCTTTTCAAGGAATAATTGTTTTCAGTAGTTAGAGGCTCTCTTTCCTCCCTGCATATCCTGGAAGTGTCAGTGATCATGGCCAATGTGTAGACACGAGCTGATGTTTGTAATGGATTAAATCCAGCTATATTTTAGGAAGCTGCAACTGAGTGACAGTGCTCTGCTCTGTCTTCATTATGTATGTGCTGTGGCTCCTTTCGGGGATTTCTGTTGGGTAAAATAGTCTGTATGAAAGAAGGAAACATAATATTTAAAATGTGGAAATTAATAATAATAATAATAATAACGATAATAATAATAATAAAATATATGCTACAGTGATGTGCCCCCAATCAAATGCCCTGGGAGCTGAAAATTTGTTCTGATCAGATGATAAAAAAAATTAGTCTCTCACTGAATAAATAATATATTTCTATTTTAGGAAATGATTCCTTATGGAAGAATTGTTTCTTGTTTTTGTCAACTTGTGTGTGTTTTCACAAATGTGTGCACAGCTGAAGTTGTCTTTGCATTAATTCTAGCACTTTAGCATGATCAGTGCTCACCATGTATGTCAGGAATGGGGACAGTATGATTTCTTATCTTCATTCATGGTGTTGTAAGTATGACTTATTTCCCTTACGAAGGAAGGGACTGTGGATTACACACATTTGCTAGTGTCAGAGAATTAGTGAAGCAACTGAGATTTTAATCTAGACCACTCTTGTGTGAGCACTAGCCATTGGCTTTTCCATGAGGCACCCTTCTGGTGTGTCTTAGGACAGTAACTTATACCTTGACTTTGAAAGCATTTATCAGTCTTGGTGCTGGGTAAGAGGACAGTGGTCCCTCCCTGGGGTATCAGGGAGGAAACTGGTTTGACTTTCTGATTCCAGAGTCTAATGATGGTCAAGTTCCCTATGTAAAATGGCATAGAATTTGCATAAAAATTATTAATAATCTCCTGTATATTTTAACTAGTCCTTGGTTTGCTTGAAATAGTAGCTAATATAGTGTAAATTCTGGGTAAATTTGTAGGTGAAGATTTCTGTTCTACCGGGTCCCACAGCCATTCAGTCCCAAATAAGCACACAGAGACTTATATTAATTATAAGCTGTTTGGCCTATTGTTCAGGCTTATTACTAACTACCTCATACAACTTAAATTAAATCATAATTCTTATCTCTGTTTAGCCATGTGGCTTGGTACCTTACTCAGTGAGGCATTCTCATCTTGCTTTTCTGCGTCAGGCTGGTGACTGCAGATTAAGCCTTTCCTCTTCCCAGAATTCTCCTTGTCTGGTTGCCCCACCTATACTTCCTGCCTAGCTACTGGCCAATCAGCATTTTATTAAACCAATATGTGTGACAAATCTTTACAGGGTACAAGAGCATTCTCCCACAGCATAAATTGTTGTTACAGTGTGATGTTTACGAGAAAGAAAGATGCCCGTACATGTTCAGTGTAGCCACCACCTCCTCCCGATATGACAGAAGCAGGAACAAAGGAGCCAGCAGGAAGCCATAGGCAGAAGATACCAGAAAAGAAAACATGTGGAAGCTAAAGTGATGGGAAGAATCCCATAACCAGTGGGAGGTTCCATGCTTGCTACAGCTGAGCGGCAATATCAGAATATCCTGGACTGCTAGTTCCTCCATGGCGTCCTTGTTTTGTAGTGTGAATCCAACGTGTGAGGCTCACACCGTTTTAACAAGGAACTCATGGGACAAGCCTGCCTTAGAATCCAAAGACCAGTTGTTTGTGATAGACGATGGAATATAGGTGCCTAAAATGTACCAGAGCCTCTGGCGGGAACATTGTGAGGTACAAATGTGAAAAAAAAATCACACCGACAAGAACAGTAACCATCAGGATTGGCATAAAGTGTGAATAATCCACACTGCAGTGTTCTCTCTTACCAGGCTTCCCTGTACTTAAGCATCTTCACTTCTGAGAGAAGAACCTTGTTGAGGAGAGGAGAGACGGCTGCTGGGCAGCTAGCATGCATCTGTGAGGCTTTTCATCGGCTCTGAAGTGGTGTGGGAGAATTGTCTTTATTCTGTCAATCATGTTTTAAGTAAACACTGATTGGCCAGGCAGGAAGTATAAGCGGGACAACTAGACAGGAAGTAAAGGTGGGACAACGAGAACAGGAGAATGCTGGGAAGGAGGAAGCCCATTCTTCCGCAGTCCTGCCCAGACTAAGGAAGAAGCAGGATGTGACTTGCCCCCGCTGAAAAAGGTACTGAGCCACGTGACTAACATAGATAATAATAATGGATTAATATAAGTTTTAAAAGCTAATATGAAGCCTGAGTTAATGGGCCAATCAGTTTTATAACTTATGGAGACCTCTGTGTGATTTTCTTTGGGACTTGCCAGCTGTGGGAACTGGGCAGGACAGGAAACCCAACAAGCCCGGCCCTCATGTTACACTGAAGGAACAGCACATAGAAGAGAAATTCAGCCCTATCCTCCAAGAACATTTTCCACGTGGTTTCTCTTTAGGATCAGGGTTTTAACTAGTAGTTAGAACCATGTTTAGATTTCCAGGCTGTCTGTAATATAAGGTGTGTTTAATAAGAATGAGTTGGCAGGGGAGGTCTTGGTTGAAATCAATACATTTTCTGCTTTTTTTTTTAATTAAAAAAGTTAATATGTATGAGTGTTTGCCTGGTGTACGTATGTGTGTCATGTGTGTGCCTGGTGCCCTCAGGGCAGGAAAGGACAGGGATTTCATGGAACTGGAGTTACTGATGGTCGTGGGTCCCAGAAATTGAACCTGGGTCCTCTGCAAGAACAGCAGTGCCCTTAACTATTGAGCCATCTCTCCAGCTCCTGATTTTACCTCATTATTTTTTTTTTTAGAAACAAATGTAAAATAGTCTATTTTAGTATTATTTTTTGTACTTGACTTTTTAGGTAACCCCAAGGAACAATATTATTCAGTAGCTGAGAAGAGTAGGAAGGAATTCAGTCTGAGGTGCTGACTGGTTAAGGGAGAAAGCATCAGGAGGAGGCTGGGGAAGGGACAAGGGAGTTGACAGTTTTTCCTGGAACTGGTGGGGCTCGGGCCGTTCGTTCTGTGTTTGGGCAGTACACTGATGACTCACTTTCTTACCTCTACTTGCACATCTGAACTACTTAGGAAGCTTTAAAAAAAATCAATGCCTTGTGGTCTAGAAACTTCATCTTTTTCTCCCATTGTCTCTGGCACTTGGCATAGTGCCTGCTGTGTAATGAAGATGTAGTAAGTGTTTGTTGGGTGAATGAAGGATTGGATGGATTAGCTTAATGCGTCATTGCTCTTGACAGTTTTGATTGAGCTGTGTTTACGCTGGGGAATGTTCCTGCTTTTCAAAATTAGTTTTGGAGGTTAAGAGCTAGATTTGTAGAGAACGCTGGAAGCATGTTCTGGAGTGAGAGTGGGGGGGGGCCTCAAACAGCGAGTTTGTGTAGTCTGAAACTGCCTGTTCTATCCGTTCACTGATTAGTGCATTTAATTGTTCGTCGAATGTGTTGTACTTGGAGCAATCTTGACATTCTTAGACACTGCAAGTAAAAGATGCTGGAGACCCATTCTCTGCTCTCCCCAGTAATCCTAGAAAGATATGGTTCAGACCCCTGTAGCACAGGCTTGCTCTGGGGACATGCAGCACTCACAAATTCAAAAGCAGTCGGATTGGTGGCCTTACCCTTGCTTCCCTGCAAAATTTGAGCGGCCATTTCTTATGGCTAATGCTCTACCCAGGACAGCCACTGCACCATCCACTGGCCTGCTGTCCAGAAAAGTTACGTCTACTTTGTTTGAAGACACATTGACCTCGAGCAAACAGTCAGGACATCAGCTGTGCCATCAAACAGTCTCCACTTCACTTGCATGGTTGCCTGCAGAGGTAATTTCCAGGCCTAGCAAGTAATTTCATAGGACCCCTGAGGAAAGTCATTCTTGTAGAAAAGTTCCAGCTCACATGCACTTTGTCAAACTCCCTGTGTTTGCCCACTCCTGGCCGTGAAGAAGAGCAGAAACATCCATGAACAGCTTCTTTTCTCTTGTTTTTCCTTCTACAGTTCCGTGAACTTGGCAATGGCCTTTGTCATTACAGAGATGAAGGCCAAGGCTCAGGGACTACAGGTGTTGAGATGAAGTTATGGCAGATTCAGCTGGAGATCCAATTGGCTTTTATTTGTGGTTCAATAACCAAGCAGCTTCCGGTGACAAAATAGAATGAGCTACCAGTGAGCAGGGCGAGTAGCAGGATCTATAATCTAGAAACAGTGGGAAAACCTGGGAACCATCAGGTTCAGGTTATTTATATTTCTGTAAGAGGTGAAGCATGGGATACTTCATATGATATGAAGGCAGGTAGATTAGGAAAAACAGACCTGTTTGGAAATCTATTTGCTTCCTTAGCATAACTGATTACATTCTGGTTTGATCTGAATTACTACAGCCTTATGTAGAAGCTCAGTTCAAAATGGTGGCCTCCCATAAAGTCTAGTTAACACAAGTAATAGGCCCAAGTTTTCCCAGGTAGTGGAGGAGATGGGATTGGGATCCTGCATGGGCTAAGTCAAGAGTCTACTTTACATCCGACTGCAGAGCTTGTTTTCAGAGCAACTGACACCTCTAGAGCCAAGAGTAACTCCAGCACTCACCTGCCCCAGAGGCTTCCAAACATATGCTTGCTGTAGGATAACCCTTCCGTACACTGTGAATATATGCTGCTCTCATTGGTTGACAGTAAAAGCTGCTTTGGCCTATAGCTAAGCAGAATATAGCGAGGTGGGAATGCCAGGCTGAATACAGGGGAAAAGAAGGGCAAAATCGGGAAGAGACATGATCCAGCTGCTCAAGGGACAAGGTGTCAGAAAACTGGTAAGCAATGGGCCATGTGGAAATGTATAGATTAGTAGAAATGGGTTAATTTTAATGTAAGAACTAGTTAGTAATAAGCCCGAACGATAGACCAAACATTCTGGAGTTAATATTAAGCCTCTGAGTAATTATTTAGAAATGGCTGCAGGATTGGACAGACAGAGAAACCTCCATTTACGTACACTGACTGGCCCTGCCACTTGGAAGCTTACTGGACATGCAAAGGGTAGAGATATTAATATGTAGAAGTTCATGCAACCACATCCATATTGGAGCAAGTCATTCAGGGCAGTGTGATTCTATGTTCCTGGACCACAGTCATATGTAGCTCAGAATAATCTTTCCCATATTCCATTTAAACAGAGCTGTGTTTTGCCAGCAGTAGTTAATCCTCACCTCTATGGGGGAAGGGAGCTAAGGGACTCAAGGAGTAGAGGAGGAGGAGGGCAGGAGCCAAGCTGGCCAGTTAGCTGATGTTATACATAGGTCTTCTGCCAACATTTTCGCTCCTGAAGGCCCTCTTGTTTAATATGGTCCTTTGTTGTAGGCTTCCCTAGACTTTGGGT